CGTGACAAATAAATTTTTTTATCAAAATATTGAAAGTTAACTTATTTTTTAATCAAAATATTAAAAATTAATAATTTTAAATAAAAAAATAAAAATTAACATATTCACTTAAAAATTAATAAAATTAATATTTTTTAATAAAAAAATTAGCATCTTATTTATTTACGCCTTTTCTCCGGTTTTAATTATTTCACTCTTAAAAAAATTGTTCAGCCCTTTTGTTTTTATTGGTTTTCCTCCCAATGGAGTGGGGCTAGACCTGTGGGCCGTGAAGATTCGGGGTAGTTGGGACTGACTCGATACCCCACCATACCATGGGCAGGTAGCAGCAATTGAATATTTATAAATATGGCCGCAGGATTAGAGATTCTATTTTTGTCACTTTATTAGTATACCAATACAATTTAAATTAAAAATTTTTTATTTTAATAAATAAAAATAATTATCACTAACCATCTAAATGATTCGCGGTAATAATTGAACTTATTCTGCTGTAGTAGTTGAACTTTATTCATCTTATTTTTTTATCGTGTTTTTAGTTAAAAAATAATAAAAAAATTTAAATAAAATTAATTCTTTTCACTTAAAATTCAAGAGAGAGCCACAAGGCCCACGAGCCACAACATACAAATACCTAGTTTCTGGACACAGGTGACTCGGGAGGATTCCAAATTCCAAACACAATAGAGGAAAAAGAAGAAAAATAAAGTTAGTGATGATTATGGTTCTTTCCCTTTGTTTTGAAGTCATTCAATAACTATCTCTTTCACAAACAATTTTTTAAATTATGATACTTAACTTTTAGTCTTTGTTTGTTCCTTCAAATAAGCAAGCAAGTATTAGTAGCTAGGATGTTAATAATCAAAAGCTACAAAATGGGGAATTCTTATGGACAAGGCTATGTAGATTTTCCTCCTTTTCCTGTCTTGAAAGCCAACCCAACCAAAACAACAAGAGGAAGAGGGTGCAAAAGGGCAGTAGGAATTAGGAAAATTATTATGTCAAAAAGGGCCTTCTGAGTTTGGTATGATGGTATCCAATTATCTTCTTGACAAAAGGTAGGTTGAAGTGGCCATGACTCATGACATTGGTCTTTTCTGAAGGCAGAAGCATCAAATGAGGACACACTTTTCCTAATTATTTAATTGAGGATACAAGCTTCTATTGGGTAGTAAATAAGGACATTACATTAATAACGCTGGCAAATAAGTGTAAATAGTGCTCACTATGTTAGCTTCCCCAAGACCATGCCGATAAAGCTATACTATGAAATTCCATAGAAAAAAAAAAAACCAAACAAAGATGATAAAAACTCATTTCACACTGAATGATCATTTTTCATGGTGACATAGAAATAAGATTTTGATATCTTTTTTTCTTTTGTCGGGTCTGGTAGTATACCTCTATTAGTTCGA